AAGGATGGTAAGCACGTTCTGCAACTGGGCCAAGGGCTCGATGCTAGCAGAGGTTCCGCCATAGGCATCATTAGAATACACGGTTAACGGTAGCTTTCTGCCGCAGCGTGTACTAAACTTGAAGACTCTTCTGCACACAGCATCTCTTCCGTATGCTCTTAACATCTTCACTCTGACAAATTTGAAGACAACTTGAGGATTTACTTACTTACAGAGGCAACGTGAGAAACTGAAAAATCTTTTCTCTTTTGTGTTTTTGTTTTATTGTTGGGTGGGAAAGGTGTTCCACTAGACAGTGGTAACCTTCAGTGCCATAGATTCAACCTCTTTCCAGACTGCAAATGATTTTTGTAACTCCAGTGTGTGAGCCTGAATTATGCAAGTAGAGGAGGGGGCAGTAAAAGCTTTCCTGTAGCAGAAACAAAGAGGGGGGAGAAAAAATTCACGGAAAGCTTCTAGACCGAATTGTTCTATACGTTGCCGGCTTAAGTAGCTACTTTATTTGATCCCTCCTAGCTGTTCCTGCATTTCTTGCATCCTCTCCTTTCCCTTCCACTTTCTCGCCGAGCATATGCAGGTTAAGGATCATGGGTGGTGATACCTCTGGGAGGTACCTGGGAGGAAGGTCATCAAAAGAGATGCAAGGTGAGGACAGATATCGAATTAAGTACATTCAACAAAGTAATGAATAGTAAATTTAATTTTAAATTAAATTTTAAAAGTTTTTAATTTAAGATTTCGATATCTGTTATACATAATGACCAGGGACCAGGTTAGTTATTCAGCAATCCTAGGGGTTAAGAGAGAGCTTGGAGACAGAGACCAAAAGAAAAGTCATAGCTTTGCTTTTGAGGAAAGAAAATTGGTTTTGGAATAACTGAAATCTCTGAAGGATCTGTACTAAAGGCTAGTTTTAAACTTGGGTATACTAAAATATATCCAGTTCCAAATACAAGAAAAAACCTGCTTCAGATCTTAAGTGCAGTCCTCTTGGAGAAAAGGCCTTTGCAATTGATCTCAGCTTCTGGCTCCAATGCTTTTAGATTAGCCTTTCAGAAACCTCTTCTCATGGGCGTGAGCTCACAGAAGGTCTTGCGCATGGGGACAAGGGTGGGCTTTGTAAGGGCGCCTCTGTTTGGGGACCTCAAGAATACTGAACAAGGTGTTGGTCAGATACTGTCCTTGCCCAATAAAATATAAAAACAATAGAAAATAATTAGTAACTGAGGGACTCTAGGTGCGGCTACTCTCATAAGCTTAGCTCTTGAGACTAAATAGGCAAAACAGTTACTAAGTTGCAAAACCGGACACTTTTTTTTTTTTTCCCCGACACATCTTTGAGTGGCAGGTGTGCATCTGTCACGCTAACATTCTGAATGCCTAACAATTCTGTTAAGTCTAATCTCCCTGCCAGACTTCATGACACAGCTATTAATATACAGAATCAACCAGAAACAAATCTGAGCAATGCAGACCAGGATTTATGGACGTGTTAATTACGGCATTATTTATAAAATTTTTTTAAAAAAAGGAAGTTAAATGCCTAACACATAGGCACGTGGTTCAGTTAGTTCATATCTACATTACACAGCCATTAAGAGCCATGTCTCTGAGGAACATTTACTGACAAGAAGAATACTCACGGTATAATGAGAAATCAATAAGGTACAAAATGGAAGACACTGTGATCGTATTTATTGGTTCATTTATTTATGGTTTTTTCCCCTCTGGTCGTATGCATGCACGTGACTGGGAAGAACTAAAATAAAATACTGATGGTGACTATCTCTGAGTAATGAGTATCAGCTTATTTTTCTCTACCTTTGTATACTTTTCTGTAATTTTCCAGTTTCATACAAATCTTTTCCTTTTCCAATAAAATATACTGCTTTAAGAAAGCAATTGTTAATTCTCACAAGAATACCTAGCTAAGCCAGCACCAGTCCACTATATGATTATTATTAATAAATGATAATGTACACAGCTCCTATCCCTGCATGTGAGTAATCATGGTGAAAAAAAAATCAATATGTCTCAGTCAGTAACCTCTGGGCCAGAAGCTTTAAAACTCATGATCTGCATTAAAATTCATCCTGTCAGAGCACTACCTACTGTATTGAATATTCTGATATTGATGCATGAAAAGGGAATTGATACTTGTCAAGGACGTACTCTGGGCCAGGTGTTCATATATGGGGTTTCGCTTAGTACGCTTCTGGATGAGGAAACTGAAGTTCAAAAAGGTCAAATCACTGACTCTGGTCACATGACTCCTCAGTGATCAACATGGATTCAAACCCTCTCAGTCTGGCTTGAAGGCCCCCTCCCCTTTCACCACCGCAGGGCTGGTGAAAACTTCAGGTGACACGTAGACTTCATTTCAGACATTTAAAAATATCTTAAAATATTTTGCTAGCATTCCGGCCGTGTGGCCAAAATAACTGACCTTTGCTTCTTTTCTTTCACACAACCTAGTGGAGGTGCTGGGGAAGCTACCCAAAGGAGACAACATGACAGACAGAAAAGAGAAGGACAGGTGAATAATCCACCTACTGGGAAACGCTTGAAAGAACAGGCAATTTTTAGAGTTGCACAAACTAGCCTAGCCCCCTGCTCGGTGAGGGAGGAGGCGGCCAGCTGAGATGTCAGGCAAGTGCTACCAGACTCCATCAGTCCACAAATCTCTCCACGAACCCGCCCCAGTGGGCAAGGTACTGCTCCTCTCTCCTGCTTGGCCTGACTGAACCCTATTTCTCAACGGTCATTTTGGGGGGTTGATTACAAAGCACACGTCATGCATTCTAGAGAGGATTTTTTTTTTTTTTTTTTGGGTACGCGGGCCTCTCACTGTTGTGGCCTCTCCCATTGCGGAGCACAGGCTCCGGACGCGCAGGCTCAGCGGCCATGGCTCACGGGCCCAGCCGCTCCGCAGCATGTGGGATCTTCCCGGACCGGGGCACGAACCCATGTCCCCTGCATTGGCAGGCGGACTCTCAACCACTGCGCCACCAGGGAAGCCCTAGAGAGGTATTCTTAGACGTTAAAAACTTTCCTCTAAGAGAGGACGACAGACCTTAAAGATGATCTCTTTTCACTCTTTCCACTTAACAATATATACCTTTTGACATTTCTCAAGAAAGAGTCTACAGTCTAGATATTGTGTTAGGCCTATCTTTCCACGTAGCATCTAATTGAATTCAATCAGCAGATGAGTTTGTAATCCTAACAACATCCCATATAGTTAGAACCTCACAATTACAAAGTGCTTCCAAACCAGTGATGTCATTTGCTTCTCACAGTAAACCTGAAGGAAGGAAAGGGAGGTAATGTCACCCCCATTTTACAGATCAGGAAATTGAGACATACTGCCACTTTGTCTGGCTTATTGGATTAGACAGCAGCTTCCTTGGGAGGCACAGAGGGACTGACTCTGGGGGGGGGGGGTGCGTATGAAAGTTTCAAAACATGGCAGTAACGTGTCTCTGGAAAACAGGATCCTGAAAAGGGGTTTTCGGGTAAGGATGGGGTAATGAAATACTGGAGCAGGAAGACAAACACTACTTAGGTCACACTGTTGCCTGTGGAGAGCTCTGGGTGAGTGGCTTCCTTCCCTAACTTTCTGCTTTCTCAGTCCTATCTATTCTTCAAAGCCAAACCCAAATCCCACAGATCCAGGAGCCGTTCTTGAGTATCCAGCACAGAGAAACCATAATAACAACACCTTAAGATTTCCATGTGCCTGAGCTCATTACATCATGAAAAGCTTTTGAGGTAGGCTGCACAGTCAGTTTTACAAATGAAGAAAATGAAGCTCAGAGGGGTTCAGTAACTTGTCAAGCTGACACGGCTAATAAGCAGCAAAGTCTGGATTTCAAACTACATCAAATCACAGCGGCCTCACCTTCCCGTACATGTATCACATCTTGTTTATTGCCTGCCCACGTGTCCCTCAGTTCATCAGCCTTTTGTTGTAAGTTCTTTGAGGGCAGACCCCAAGCCTTATATTTCTTTCTAACCACCCCCTCCCACAGTTAGCAGAGCCCCATGTACACAGTAGGTTCTCAATAAGCATCATATGTTAAATATCTGTTTGGTAGGAACAGTAGTTATTAAGAGGGATTTTTTGGTACTCTAAATGTCAGGGTCTCTGCTGTATATAATTAAAACAAGAGTGAACATGGAATGTATAATTTCTCCTCGCTCTAGCTTAATCAGGCATTCATTACCATGTCTGATTCTGTGTTATGTAAAAAGAACTGCTTAGTAAGCATTTTCTATGAAGAGGACAGTCAAATACCTACAGATATCAAAGAGATTTTTAAAAAAGGCGAAAACAAAACCATCCAACATATGGAGAGACGGTGATCGACACGGCGTACTGTTTCACCTGAGACTAAAGAACTTCCAAGGCAAAGAGAGTACTTGACTCATACTGGGAAATTCAAGGTACACCCAGGAGGAAGCAGAGTGCCAAGTGGGATCCTGTACCATTAGACTCTGTCTCAAGAGGACGGATGCTCTACGCAACTGATCGGGGTCAGAAACAGAGAAAGGTACGCTTTCAAGGGCTTTTCGGGGAGAAGGGGTTTGCTTTGAAACCTCTTCAGCATAGCAGCCATTTCACTACCCTCTTCATTGCCAGGCAAACTTAATAAAAACACATGCAGTATACAATTTATTACCCTGTTGGGTCTCATTCCATTTGCCCTCCCAACACCTCATTGGTCTATAGCTTTGAAAATATAATAAGGGCTCGAATAAATTCACCGAGATGAGAATTTTTATGATAGAGCTTAGCTCAAGTGCTCCTATGTCAACATCTGGTAACCTAAGCTAACAGTACCTACCCATATTTTATCGCCAAACCACACATTAGTAATCTTAATAAGCCGCTGAGACGCAGGGCTTCTGACTTCCTCTGTGTTAAAAAGTGCCACATTCTCGTGGGCATTCAACCAACACCAAGCAAGAAGAGCAAACACCAGGTTTGTGGTACCTACATTTGTGTCCTCATGGCTGTGGCCATTGGTCTCGACCAACTCCTTGGTACCCTTCAACTGCAGATTTTAAGAAAAAACAAAACAAAAAAACCCAAATGAATAAGTAAGCATTATCTACTAAGTGTATATCATCCTGTTAACCCTGATTTATCTGAGGCTGCCCTTTATGAAACTTCCAACAAGAAAAAACAGATGGAGCACATAATTCTAACGAGTCTTCCTGAAACCAGTTTGAGACCAACATTCTACGAAACCTGATGGCTGGCAAGAAATAAATGGGCCTTGGTCATTATTTTTAAATAATAAAATTAGAAAGCAGTTCCACAGGCATAAAATGCATAAAATTCATTCTTAAGAATAATAAATGATTCCATTTCCTCGTTGTATTGCTATTAATTTAAACCCGGCAGTGTTTGCAAGTTGCCACCAGCTAAATGATGTTATATAACAATTGTTCGAGAATTATGTTATTTCCCCTTGTTTTAACATGCCGCAGTGCTACTGTACGTGTCCTCCTTGAGAACCTACTTGAATGACTGACATGGTTTCTGGAGGTCTAAAACAAGACGATTTGCTTCTTTTTGGAAAGGAAGAATTGGGAACACATCTCCTTGGTCACTGAGGCATCAGAAGAAAAGCTATTTCTCAAATGAGATTTTTAACAGTGAACATCTGAAAATGCCTCTCCCTCAGAAGGCTTAGGAGTCATCAGTTATCGGGAGATTTCTGGAAACCTTTAACTGGCATTTTATCCTAGCCTGACTTGAAGCAGACACATGAAGACAGAGAATAAGGGCAGGGGGAGCAGGCCTTGCAGCTGTTTGCTGGTACTTCTTCCTGGCCTATTATGCTTAGGAAGCAGCATCTTCCGCATCCTCTTTTTTATGCCTGAAATATTCATGGTGGGATATAAATGCGTAAAGTTTGAAAGAAAATAAGTGCACCGCCCATGTGTTTGATTCAAATGTTGGTTCTTTCGGGCTCTTGGTACATGTTAAAATGAAAGCGTCTTTGATTTTTGTCAGGCGATCTCAGACTCCCAGCAAGAAAACCACAGGCTCTCCATGCCAAGAGAGAGGCTCTGCCGAAGCAACGGCGCCGTGGAGGAGCTGAGTGTGGGGCAGCCGGCTGTGGGCCAGTGGGGCAGATTAAGACTCACCTCCACATCACGCTCCTGCTTGAGAAAGAGGCATGCTGCCCTGTGTTCTCTGGGGCTACGCCACTGATGCTTCTACACATAACAAAGACAAGGGAGCACAGGCAATGTGTGATACACGCGAGAAGAAAAAGTGCGCCTCAGTGACAGCAGCGCCGTCTGTTATCAGAGGGCACAAAGGGACTTAAAAATCCCTCTCTGTTTTCCTGTCTTAAGGGTTTCTTTTCATAGGTGTTCCTCATCTTCTCCTTTTCATCAACCCTCTCTGCTTGTCCCACCTTGTAACTCGTGCTTCTGGGAGTGAAGAGCGGGGTTGGCTCAGAAGAAGATTTTGTTACTTCTGCCCTCGATGGCCTGGCTCCCTGCTCTCTCCGGAGCTGCTGGTCTCCTCCAGACGGAGGGGCTAACATCTTCTCTGAGGATACCTGGGCTTGGGAACAGGCTCCAGGTGTTGGAAGCTACCGCCTCTGTGAAGGACATGAAAGGCAGGAGCCAGTGGGGCCTGGTGGGACCTGGTGAAGCTGCATCTTAGCAAACAGAGAGCTTAGGGAATGAGCCTGCCTCCCCTGGGCTGAGGGCTACGGACGGTAAGGGTCTGCCCTCACAACCTGTTCCTTCTTTTCAGGATTTCCATCAAGTGGCAGTCACGTTAAAGAGCAAAATTCCACGTCTTCAGAGCAGGATATATCTTTTCCTGTGTGTGTGTGTGTTTGTCTATATAATACTGTAAGTCCCCTACATACGAACGAGTTCCGTTCCGAGAGTGCGTCTGTAAGTCCAATTTGCTTGTAAGTCCAACAAAGTTAGCCTAGGTACCCAACTAACACAATTGGCTACATAGTACTGTACTGTACTGTAATGGGTCTATAATACTTTTCACACAAATAATACATAAAAAACAAACAAACAAAAAATAAAGAAAACATTTTTAATCTTACAGTACAGCACCTTGAAAAGTACAGTAGTACCAGCTACATCACGGCTGCTTTTATGCTTGCTTTTGGACATCCTGGGCTTGAAATAAAGATACTGTACTACTGTACTCTATACAGTACTGTACAGTAAAGTACGCAAAAGCACGGCCACTTGTAGAGGATGCAGGCACGTGACAACGTACGCCAGACATGTGAACTGACTTATGTGATTGGACAGGCGAACGCACATTTACATCTTCGAAAGTTCTCAACTTGAAGGTTCGTATGCAGGGAACTTACTGTAGTAAGAGTCTAGGCCCAATCAAACCTCTGGGGGGTGAGGCCATCTGTTTAGGCCCTATCTATGCAGGCACTGAAAAGATGTTTGCACGTATAGCGACTCTACACAAGTCCAAAGAAAGCTTTCTAAGGCATTGTTCAGAGAGGCGGAGGTGTGTTTTTAAATGTATGTCTGTGTGTGGCGGGAAGCTACAGGGAGATGGAAGGAACGTGTCCACTGCCTGCTCTCATCTACAAGGATGACAGGGGCACCGGGCAAGGGGCTCTCGGGAAAACAGGCTGGTGGCGAACAGCACCCAAATGGCGGCTGTGGGCTCTCTTAGGCTTATGTATTCTCGGTGCCTCTGCTTGTAAAGGAGCCATCCCATTACTACAGCAGATTTAAAAACGCTTCCTTTCCAGTCAGATTTCCTAGGTTTTTAATGATTTTAGTTGTTCTGAATCTTGTTCATGTTCCCCATTTATCTTTTTTTTTTTTTAAGTAATGGAGAACGAAGTGTGATGCTTTACCAAAGCCTGTGTACGCACATCGCTCTTTAAAAACGCATGCTGTGACGACAAGGATGTAGCAATGAATTCTGCAAAACTTAGCATCTATTTTTATGACTGGAGTTTGGAGTTTGAATCAAAATAAACGATCTGAGTCATTTAGAGAAAGGAATTCACCCCTCCTCATCCCAGTAAATCAAGGAGGCAGAGAGAGAAAATGTAAAACAACGAAGCTCAGAGCTATGTCTGTCCGAGCAGGAGCAAATCTGGACCAAATCAGCTCTACTTTGTTGAAAGCCTTTGAATAATGTAAAAGAAGAAAGAACAGTGACTGCAGGTCTCTTAGACAGTAGGTCATTGTGAATTTAGTCATCAATATTTTTTCAGTTCAATCTAACTTATCCAAAATCATATAATGTAAGCCTCAGTCTAAGTTACTGAATCTATCGTAATCGTATAAAGGTAACGATTAGCTTTAGAAAGCATTTTCCTCCAAAGCTATAAAAGCTTATAAACTACCTAACATCTTCACTTGTCCCTCACAATTCACTTATACTTTTAGGGGAAAGTGACTGACAAGATATTTTGAGTCCAAACCATTAAAAAGTTAAAAATCACTTGTAAAGTGACTGAGTCACAGCTGACTAGGCTCATACGCTTCCAACTTCATAGTTTTTTTTAAAAAATATCACTTTTGAAGTTATATATGTTGTGCAGAGGACCTCTTCATACACCACTGTGAGTGAAAATTTTAAAGCAACCTAAATTTGACTACCCCCAGAGGGCTACGGTTACTCTACATGATTTTTTTTCCCCTTCCATTTGCCGTTCATTACATCATGGGCGGCATGTGAAGGCCAGAAATAGGAAAGCATTTCAAGAGCTTTCTCAGCTTCTTGCGTGTAGGTACTGGCCTTAGATTTCACTCAGGGGCCGGGCGATCCATCTCACCCTGCTGTACGACGATCGTTTCAAATCTACTTATCAACGTCGGGCCACACTTTAGTATCAAAGAAAGCCAGGATGAAACGTTCAGATTTACAAACTTCATATGAAAGGTCTGTCGCTCACCCTGGTTAGATAAGTGCCCTGATGCACAGGGGAGAGATTTTTTTAAATGTCGCTATGAATCAGTCCTTCTGATTCAGATGTCTGCAGGAGGACTGTGGGCTATGCTAAACTCATTTTCCTTGCGATGAGACTTAAAAGGAAACTAGCCGCTTGCTGTGAAATTTATCTGCATTGCCAATGTTTTAAAACTTTATCGAAATTCATTTGTCTTCTGGAAGAAACGTTCACACATCGCTGGGGAGCTTGGGTGGTCTAAAGAGGTACCAGAGTGAAAACAGAGATGCTGCAGATGAGATGACAAATTCTACCCAGCAAAGCTGCTAAGAGGTGGGGAGGGTCCAGGCTGGTCATTTCGAAGATTAACTGCAGCAGTGTTTGCATGTGTGTCGAACACGGGGGGGGCGTGTTCGGGGGTTTGCATGTGTGTCGAACACGGGGGGGGGCGTGTGTCCGTGTCTGAACTAATTCACGAGGCAGAGCTGTTGCATTCACTTACTTGTTCCTGGAGGACTTTGAGTAATGCCTGTGTGTGTGACTGCTCTTCCTTTGCTTGTTCCAATTCTGACTTTTTGTTGTTTAACTCCTCCTGGATGGTCAGCAATTGCTGTGAAAAGGATATTTAGGATGAGTAGGATTGAAGGCCAATGGAATACTGTAAGATATTGAAAACATCCATTCCAAAACACGAGGAAAAGGTTTGTACGTGTCTTAAAGCTTAATCCAGACTTCAGTTGACCTTTTTTAAATGTCTGTTTCACACACACACCCCCCGTAGTGTAACGAGTGTGCAGTTAATGCCACAGTATCAGGCTGTTTGTGACACTGATGCACAACGCTTGTTTCAGTGTTTGTGAAGGCACCTTTATATTCGTTTAAACAGATGCGTATCTGTAAAAATATGTAGAATAGTGGTAAGAAACTAAGACATTGACAGCTGAAGAAATTAAATCCTAAAGACACTTAAAATAATGAGTCAACTTGTCCGAGGTTACATCATTTTACATATGACCCTAAAGCTAGCTTTCCAGTAGCTCTGTAAAGCTGCTTCACCAGGTGGCTGGGAGCACAAAAGAGCCTTTTACCTTCTCTGTTATGATGGTGATGTTTTATTAGATCAGCAGGACTGAAGTCTGAACTGCAATCAATGTATCAGTCGAGAAAACTGCCGATACAAGCTGTCAAAACACTCAGCTATGGCCTGCACCGTTGTTTTGAAGCAGGGCCACTGAACGGATTGCTGCGAAGCCTTGAGCGCGCCTTGCCCTATCCACTGTAATGCATGGGAGGCTTACCTGGCCTGCCAGGAGGACGGGGCTGCCCAGAACTAATTCTTTGGAACATGGTTATGTGCTAATATATACACAGGCTGGAGAGCACATTCAAGAGGTTCAAAACAGACCCCGGAAGCAGCTATGTCTTATTCAGAGCTTCTTGACAACAAAGGGCTAGTTTGCAAAGACGGAAGTCTGTTTCTTCTGCTCCTGCACGTGACAAGTGCTGCACTGACGATACGAGAATGTCAGTGCGTTCCTGCCACGAGGGTAGCTGTCTCCACACCAAGGCTGCGACTTCTGGGGCTGGACAAGCTGGCTGCAGAGCTGCCTGGCCAGTTCTGAACTATCAAGGCCGGAATAAACACCGTCACTGGATTCCTGATGCTTAAAGTTGCCAAGTGGAAGGATTAAATTAAATCTTCAAAACTGCTAGTTTTGCGGTACGTTGTCGGGGAGGAAGTACTCAGAAAAACACACTGTGCCTTAACCCCTGGGCTTGCGTGTCCTGTTCCCTCGTCCGGTGCTGGCTGTAGATTTAAGAAGCTGCTTTGGTCCCCCAGCATAAACAGTGATTTCCTTGCAGTTTTCAAAACACTCAGCGCCCCTTATTTTACCACGTGCCCGTATCATACTCACATGTGATGCAATACACACAACCCACACGGGCTCCCTTCACGTGTTACGTGATTCAATTGTGCACCAATTGATTAAAGTGCAGAAACCAGGGGGCCATATTGTACTCTGGCACCATGATAAGTAATGAAAATGACCATTTCCAAACAGTGGGGAATGACCCTGGTTCTTTATTCTCATTCATGACCAGCCCCAGAACAGTTCCGAGAGGACCTGGTGCTCTGACTTCCACGATGCCGAGTGGATTTTTATGTCATTAGACCATTTCGAATCCACTCCTTAAACCTCCTTTAAAAATGAGCCAAATGAAGGACAGGAAATTGTCTTCAAACATAGGTAGCTTATGTTCACTCAACTGCAGCACTCGAAGTAGCAAAATTTAGAAACGACTCATGTCCAGCAGAGGGGGACTGGCTACAGTAACGATGGTGCATCTGTACAATGGAACACCATGCAGCCATTAAAATGAAGTTGCACAAGTGTCTCTGGACATAGAATTAACTCATACTATACTGTTCTCCACATGACAAGTTCAGGCTATGAAAGGGTTTCACTGAATTTTGCAAACTATTCGTAGAAATGAACCTGGACGCTGTCTCTGGGTGAGTGGGCTTACGGATCTTTCTGTTAGGTTTGCTTGTCATTTTCTGCTATGTCTGTAAAGGAGCAGACACTGCTTTAGTAAGAACAGCAACAAGAGCAAACAAACGAACTTAATTAAAGTCGGGGAAAGGACACAGAAAGGAAAACCACTTGGACACAACTCTCAGCTGTTATTACCAACACTGTGAATAGATCAGAGGGGAAGTGAGAACTCCACTGAGTCTGCCATTTCATCCACACGTTTACAACACTGCTTCGTGCTATTAAAACGTGCGTGCACTCGTGTACACACACACACACACACACACACACACACACACACACACACCCTTCCCCTGACCTCACTTCCCATGTAAGCTTCCATCCGTTCTCACTGTTCCTTGGAATCACACTTTTAAATTAAAAAAAAGTGTGATTCCAAGGAATCATCCCCAGTTCCTTTTCTTCTCGTATGTAGGCAACCGCTTTCAACGGTTTCTTTTTTATTTGAATGTGTTTTTCCAAAATATATACTGTTGTTTTGAGAGTATGCATTTGTATGTTAAGTGATAGTGTTCATATTTCTTGTTTACTATGTTTTTAAGCTCCATGTTGATATGTATATATATCTAACTATTGCTTCTGGTGGCTGCACACTATTTTACAGGGTACGTCCACCCAGTTATACCTATTCCACTCTCCCAGTGAAGGCCACTCAGATTATCTCCAATTCTCCTCCCCCTGTATGAGGCTGTAGTGGGAGATGCTAATGCTTGTCCCTATGGACCTGTGGGAGACTTGCCCTGGTGCATATCCAGCGATGGAGCTGTCGGTCACGGGGCATGCCCGAGGAGTTCACTGCCAAAGCTGCATCACAGAATGGCTGTACCAGCCTACCCGCCCACCAGTGCTATAAGAGTTACTGTACCCCACACCCACACTAACACTTTGCATTATCCAACTTTCTAACCTCTGTCAGTCTAATAATATCAAGATTCTTCACCTTGAGACTTGCCTTGTGGTCGAGCTGTAAAGAATCTGTCTTCCAACGCAGGGGGTGTAGGTTCGATCCCTGGGTGGGGAACTAAGATCCCACGTACCATGGGGCAACTAAGCCCACCTGCCATGGCTACTGAGCTCGTGTGCCTCAATGAGAGAGCCCTGCGTGCCGCAAACTACAGAGCCTGCGAGCCACAACGAGAGAGAGAAAACCCGCATGCCACAACTAGAGAGAAGCCCGTGAGCCGCAACGGAAGATCCAGCGTGCCTCAACGAAGACCCCGCGTGCTGCAACTAAGACCCGATGCAGCCAAATAAATAAATTAATTTATATATATTTTTAAAAAAGATTCTTCATCTTTGAAAAATCTCATACTTCTCTGACCCCCTGGGGTTTTATGCATCTCACATGTCTGCCAGCCTTTGAGGTTTACTGACACTTCTTAAAGGGAGAGTCAAGGGTAGTGGTTCTTAAATGTGGAGAACTTTTCAAACACACTTATTCCTGGGTCCCACAGAAGACCAATTAACTCAGAATATCTAGGGGACGGACCCAGGCAATAATATTTTTTAAAAAAACCTCCACAGGGCTTCCCTGGTGGCGCAGTGGTTGAGAGTCCGCCTGCCCATGCAGGGGACATGGGTTCGTGCCCCGGTCTGGGAAGATCCCACATGCCGCGGAGCGGCTGGGCCCGTGAGTCATGGCCGCTGAGCCTGCGCGTCCGGAGCCTGTGCTCCGCAGCGGGAGAGGCCCGTGTACCGCAAAAAAAAAAAAAAAAAAAAACCACCTCCACAGATAATTTTAATATGCAGCTGGGAAGGAAAACCACTGTCTCTTTAAATGCTTATTTAATCCTGCTACAACGCTGCTTCTGTCCAGAGTACCCTACTCAGACTCTACTCTTACTAAAGTCACTAACGCTTTTCTAACTGCCAACTAGGATGCCAGGTTCTGTTTGCCTTGGCATGTCCTCTCTCTCCAGGCGATCCTGTTCACACCCATCGCTTCAACTGCATGGGCTCGGCTCCTGCGCTCCTGCTTTTCAAAGCTGACCTCACAGCCTCCGCCCCTCCTACTGCCCACCAGACCCTTTCCCTACAGTGTTCCAAACTGTGCTTACTGTGACCCCTCCCCCACAAGGCTAATTCTATTCCCCTGGTAACCAGAGTTAAAACCTTGAGGTCCATGCCCGCCCTTTCATCACGCCCACAACCTCTCTGCCCGTTCCTCTGCCTTCTCTCCAACCATCTTCACTGTCATGTTTAGGATGAGCATCTCTCTTCTGGATCTGCTTTTTCCTCCTGTCATTCACCCTACACTCCTGAGAAAATTGAATCAAAGTGCTCCCGTGCTTAAAAAATACCATCGATCCCCCAATCTCTACTGGATAAAATCCAAACCACTGGCTGTGTCGTCCTTCCCCAGACATGCTAGGTCCTTTCATGACTCTATGAAAAGCTCACTACCCAGAATTCTGCCTGGCAGATTCCTATTCATTTTTTAAGCCAGCTTAAAGAATGTTTTCGGGCTGACGTCAATCCATATGATGACTTTATACGATAGAAAAGAGCCCCATCCTCTAGGCAGACAGGACCCTTCACTAAGGCACATGGCTGGGCAGTAGAGTAGGGGCTTGAGTTCATCCCCTTTCACCCATTTGGCCTGGTGCCCTTGTCCAGGGCAAAACCTGCACAACTATAAGCAGTGGTCTTGGTTTCTTCCTCAATAAAGACCCCCTCTGATCACCCAAGCAAAGTTAGCTGTTCTAACTTCCATGCTCCAAAAGCACTTTTATATGATATATTACATTTCATAGATATCTCCCCAACTAGCCTACATCCACCAATGGTAGGGTCAATAACTGGGTTATCTCTAACACACAACAGGTGCTGAATGAACGAATGAGTAAAGAGGTGAATGAATGCTTGCTCTGGTTTCCCCAATTCTATGAGATTAAGCCACGATCTAGCAAAAAAACAAAACAAAAGAAAAACAAAAAAACCACACACACACACACACACAAAAGCCAAAACGAGAACAACAACTACCTGAGGATCTATCACTGGGTAATTTATTGTTCTAGACATATGGGTATATGAAATCTTCAGAGGAAAA